GCACTATTTTGTCCAGAATTGCTACTTATTTGTAAATCTGAAATTTTAAAGATGATATGATAAAACTCCATTACTGTTTCACCTATGATGAAAACAAAAAGTAAATTTAGTGGTTTGGACATAAAAATCTGAGGCCCAAGTATAATATAGCTAATTATAAAAGTAAATATATCACCAGGATTCTTTTAATTCAATTTGATAAAATAAGTTTTAAATAATAATTAATGTTTTGTGTTAATAATAGTACCTGACATTGAGTGCCAGAACTGTTCTGGGCATTTAAAATTTAGTAACTCATTTGATTCTCACATTAGCTGTTTAACATTGGCAGTGCATCCATCTTATAGGTGAGTAAAGTGATGCACAGAGGTAAGAAGTCACTTGCTCTGTTGTAAACAACCAGTGAGCAGCCTACCCACATCTAAATCCAGGTAAGTGTCTAGAGCTTAGAAACATGATCATTCCACTGCTATTTGTTGAGGTGAAATGTATACCATCTCATAGTCCAAAGAAATAGAAATGAATGACCTGGTAAATTTGGATTTGTAATGGGAGAGCCAAGCACACTAAGAAAGATGAAAAAAATATGGCTGAGTTTGGACTGTTTAACGTGTATATTAATTGAATACATCTTTGCTACCAGGAAAGGTAAGAAAACAAAGAGCAGTAGAGACTACTGAGGAATTTAATGTTGTTATCCTTGCTGTCCATGAGCTGGTTCTGATCTTTGCTGTCCATGAGCTGGTTCTGACCCACAGAGACCTTATGCACACACAGAACTAATCTTGCTGATCCTGCAACATCCTCACAATTGGTGTTATGTTTGAGCCCACTGTTACAGTTACGGTGTCAAGTCATCTTCTTGACAATCTTCCCCTTATTTGTTGAAGTAAAATTACTTGGAGTGATTTTTCTATTCATGTTTTTCTAACTTCCTCCAAATTATTGGATGATGTTATTGTTGCCATTGTTGTAATTAGGTGCCATCTAGTTGGTTCTGACTTACAGTCACCTCATGTGCAACAGAAGGAAACACTGTCTGGGCATGCCCCATCTTTCTAAGTGGGGTCTCTGTGGGCCTGTCGGTCCATCTCAGGGAGGGCCTTCCTCTTTTACACTGCCTTTCCACTTTACCGCGCATGATGTCTTTCTCCAGGGCTGGTCTCCTCTGACAACACCTCCAAAGTACATTAGAGCATTCTGGTTGTCCTTCTTCCAAGACAGATTTGTTTGTTTCTTTCTTTGGCAGTTCATTGACACAGTTTCAGACACATTGATTTTTTCTTCTGTTTTGCTTATTAGGTGTCCAACTTTCCATGCATGTGAGGCGATTGAAAATACTATGACATCTTACTTTTCAGAACCTTAAATAGGATTGTGCAGGAGATTTACTCAATTCAATTGTCATTTGATCTCTTGACTACTGCCTTCATGGGCATTGCTTGTGGATCCAAGCAAGATGAAATCTTGGAAAACTTCAGTCTTTTCTCCACTTATCAAAATGCTACCTCATTGTGAAGTTGGGAGGATTTTTTGTTTCCTTTGCATTGTGGAGGCTGAAAATTCTTGAATTTCATCAGCAAGTGCTTGAAGTTCTCTTCATATTCAGCAAGCAAGATTATATAATCTGCATATTACAGGTTTTTAATTAGCTTTCTTCCAATTCTGATGCTGCATTCCTCTTTATAGAATCCAGATTCTTTGCTCACTGAGGAGCAAAAAGATCAAGTAAGTAGGGTGGGAGGACACAACATGATTCACCCCTTTCCTGATTTAAAACCATGCAGTCTGCCTGGTACTGTTCACACAGCTGCCTCTTGATTCATGTACAGGCTCCACATGAACACAGCGTTCTCATTCTTCGGAAAGCTGTCCATAGTTTGTTATGATCTGCACAGTCAAATGCCTCTGCATAGTCAATAAAATACGAGTAAACATCTTTCTGGTATTCTCTGCTTTCAGACAAGATCCATCACACATCTGCAATGATATCCCTTGTTCCATGTCCTTTTCTGAATCTAGTCTGAACCTCTAACAACTCCCTGCAACCGTTGTTGGATGATCTTCAGCAGAATTTACTCGCGTGGATCATCAGTGATATTTTCTGTAGTTTGAGCATTCTTTTGGAATGGATATAAATATGGATCTCTTCCAGTCAGTTGGCCAAGTAACTGTCTTCCAAATTTCCAGGCAAAGATGAGTAAGTGCTTGCAGTCCTTTATCAGTTTGCTGAAACATTTTAATTTGTATTCCATCAATTCCCAGAGCCTTATTTTTGGCTAATGCAGTCAGTGAAGCTTGAACTTCTTCCTTCAGCACCATTGGTTCATGCTTATATATTTCTGAAATGGTGGAACGTGGACTAGTTCTTTTTGGTACAGTGCTGCTGTGGATTCTTCCCATCTTCATTTGATACTTCCCTGCATCGTTTAATATTTTGTACATAGAATTTTTCAATATTGAAACTTGA